GTATCAACCTGACAGACACGTTCTTACTGGTGACATCAACACCAGGATTTCTGCCAACCCTGGAAGTAATTTTTGCCATAGTGGACATGAATTTGCTTGGAGAGCTTTGTAGTATAGGCCTAATGAATCCTGAATAAGCTTGAATAATTTCCAGACCTTAATTACTGTAAGGCATTCATGTGGCTAGATAAACCTGCTGAGAAACCTGCATTGTGTGTGTACCTCTTTCCCCCTTCTTCATGCACCTTGTGGATACCTCTGTTGTGGGTCTAATATCCACTTTTTTTTTTTTTTTTTTTGAGAAGATAATAGTTTTGAGAAATCTTCTAAAAGAATTCCGTGGTTGATGTATTTGCCAAGTGAGAAGTGTTTGTACTAATACTGTTTCTGTTTCAACAAGGAGTTATTTATGTACTAAATGTTTTTTTGTGAATGCAGCATTCATTGCTATAGTCCTTTCAGCTGAAGGCACAGGGGCAGGAAAAACACTTCAGCCTAACAGAACATTTTATTCTGAAGTTAAGTATTGAAAGGTTCCAGCCCAGGGAACTTTGGCACAAGTTAGGTTTGAAGCTCGGTCTATTTCCCTGCCTAGCTTTACTTCTGAATGATGTGGCCCAGGTAACCCGCTCCAGACATTTCCAAACCATGGGAAATGCTTTGTTTTGGCTTTAAAATCCTGCATGGACATCCAGATACAACAGCAATTAACATCTAATGTTTATTCTTTCCCAGCTTACTCCTTGTAGAAATCCTGAATGCCTATATTCAGAAATATCACGTTCATCAAGACACAAACCAATGAACCTGAACCAACACCTGTCTTCATAGGGCAGAATGTGCACTGTGTCAGAACAGCTCAAGGGTACCTATCTATCTGTCTGTCTGTCTATCTATCTGTCTGTCTTGGGAAAGTCCCTTGTGAGAAGCAGCAAAATCCAGCAGAAAGTGCAGTGGATGTCTTAAGAGCATGGCCTTTTTTTTTTCCCAGCTGAGCTGTTTTTCTTGTCTTCCTCTCTCCTAGTTTTCAAGATGAGTAATAATGATGCATGCTTGGTTTGGGGACATGTCTTGAGATCTAAGGAAGCAAACCATTTTTTCAGGGGAAACTATTCTGGAAAACAGTGGCCTGGAAACATAAGCAGGCATAGGGGGACTCAGATATGTATTTTTATATATAGGTGCATGGTTTCCTAGGCAGGGAAATCTGCCCTAGCTCTGTGGTTGTGTTGTCATATCAGGCTTGAGGAATCATTCAGCGTTTCAGCAGCTGCCAACAGAAGATGATCCCAAATGACTGCCAATCACATTCCGAGTGCCCACCCTATCCCTTCTTAATTGCATTAACGACAGCCTTATTGACTTCTCAGACTTTGGGTGTAAGGCACAAAAGCTGGAAATTAAAGGAGTGATTCACTGGCAGTAGCAAGATGCACATGGCAGCAATCTCATTCTTCTCCACCCTGATATTCATGCCCATCCCAGTTTGAAAATATTATTCCAGTTACTCCAGGCCCAACCATTTGCTGGAGGAAGTCCGAAGGCACGTTCTTTTAGCAGTTCTTCCCTTGGGTGTCTCTGTCTCCTTGGGAGTTCCTTTGCCTTGCTGTCAAGCTGTAAAGTCCAGATCCAAGCATCTGGATCTTGCTAGTGAGCCATTGCTGCGAACAGTAAGTTCACATTGTTCTATGTTCTATTCTCTATGCTGGTGCTGACACTAATTTTGTAACCTTTTTGTTAAGTGTACAACTAGACAGAGGTGAATGGAGAGCCCTTTACCTGTTTATAGGAGCATGTGAATATTAATGGCACATGACTGCCACACCGACTACCTTCTAGCAACCTTGGCTGTCTGCTGTCCTCCATGAGCTTCCTTCTAACTGCTGTATAGTTGTTTTATTCTCTTGGGCTGCTCAGAGATTATTGAAGCCTTTGAAAATGCTGAGCATGTGCTTCTCAAGGTGGTATAACCAGGTCCTGTGCAATGCAGGCCACTCCCCTGTGTAGTTTACCATACCTTTTTCCCACAGCTGCCAATTTCTTCCCTTTAGAAACCCCATGGATATTACCTAGGAAGACAGAGTCTGTCTTTTGGAGAATGACATAGAGCAGGTAGGCCAAGGCAGTGTGCGGAACCACTGGGTAGGGCCTGTGTTTTGCGTAACAAGCAAAGACACCAGCACAGAACCAGGAATTATGCATTACTCATCCTTCCAATTACGTTGCCTTTTCTTCTCACCTTATGAATGGATCTTGCAATATCTGTGGCTGCACATATCTGATCTTCAGAAGCAGATTGCACAATTGCTGCAGATACCCTAGGAAGAAGGAGATTGAGGAATCTGAACCCTTATGTTAGCAAATTCTCCTGGTCACCTGATGTAATTGCAGCCATGCAGTCTCCCATCTTAGATCAGGGCTAGGTCTCCTCTATAAATTCACTGTATACATTTAATTTCACCTTTACCAAGTCCCTGCTAGCACTACTGAGAGGGAATTTGGACGTGGTACCAAGACCTGGCAGCTCTTAAGCTGTAATGCTGACACTCATCCCTTTGAAGTTTTGGGCAAGTCACTTTGCCTCACAGTAACAATTTCCCCAGCTTTGAAAATTGAATAATAATACCTACTCATACAGCTACAGTGAGTAGCTTCCTTTGGCCCTCTGAACCTGTAAAACATTCTGCAAGTCTTCATTAGTTGTTCTTACTAACAGTTATTATTATTATTTTGGGATGTTAGGACAATGGCACATCAGCAAGATCCAAAATCCCCATACTGGAGCTATCATGGAAGATGATAACAGCCCTACAAAGGCTGTGTCTGTGCCGAGTTGTGAAAGCAGCTCCAGCTGGTGCAGCCACACAGTGTTGTTCAGCAGAGACACTAGCTGAGTCTGACTCTAAAGTGTAGGTGCATTAACGCAGACTCACTGCTATGGCAGGACTGCAGTAGTGCTTCTGATTCTGAAGCAGGCACTGTCTCAGCTGCTGCAGTGGGTCTGCACCACTCTCCATCCCCTAGTGCAGATGTATTCAACTTCTTCGTCTGTCTTGCCCAGGGACCTTAAAAAAGCTGGCCAGGTAAATCTGTGTTCCTGACTTGAAGCCTAAAGGTTAGGCCCTCTGGTTCACAACTGTGTAAAACTATCCTAGAGGTTTGGTCAGACTACAGCATTCCAGATTTTGTGAAGGTGGATGAAAACTTCTGTGGAACATGCAAAATTTTTTCTAGTCATGTTTAGGACACATAAAGAAGCTACATACAAGTTCTATGACTTGTTTTTTCACAGTACCATACCAAACAGTACCTATGGGAGAGCAGTGGATGATGGGAAAGTGTAGTATTCCAGGTATTCCTTTGAGAGAAATAGTAATGATTTTTTCCTTGTCTTTGCTGTGCAGGAGATTTTTGGCTACAAAACCCAAGGCTGCCGAAAGGCCTTGTGCATTGCTGGATACATCTTGTCCTGTGGGGCTCTGCTGCTGCTGTTTTACTGGAAGCCGGAGTGGGATGTGTGGGCAAACTGCACCCGCTGCAGCTTGGGAGAAGCAGACGTTGTTCTGCTCAGAACAACAGTAGGTTCCTACTTTAATCTTTAAATTAGTCCCTAGTATGTAGTTAATTGGGAGATGAGTTAATTGGAAGAAATCCAGTTAGCTGAAATCTCTTACATTGATGATTTCCTGCAATAATATCTTCTGTTTACCATCATTGATCTAAAGAACTCTCAAGTATTCCACAAATTATATGTAAGATGATGATTGGAATGGAGGGTAACAGCTGATCAGACAACAAGTTGAAAGAAATTGGGGTGAAAACTGTGTAATATCTATGGTTTCAAGACTGTGTTATTTGCTCTCAATCCTTCCTCCTCCCTTCCACCATTCCTGTTCTTTCTATGTTGCAGATCTGTGCTCCAGATTCTAAAGCATCTGTTTGATTGGCAGTGTCCAGCAGATCCTTTTTCCCTCAGTTGGCTGTCCTCTCTGCCAAAATTTAGCCAGCGGGTGAAACCAAAGATTTGTCTAGCTCTGTCCCCAGCAATGTCCAACAGTATGCAATGCGTATAAGCAAGAGGTCAAGCTTGGACTGCTTGTCTTCTGGGCTGTATGTTTCAATTTTCCATCAGACCTTCCCCATGTCCATTAAGTAAGCAATCCTACAGTTAATGCTTTCAGGGCTGTTACGCTTTGCTAGTAGCTTCCTAATAGAGATTTCTGTCTGTTGAGGACTGTACTGAAGCACTGCAACATACGCAAACCCTGATTTCATTTCATGAAAGCTACTGCAACACTAGAAGAAGCAAACTGAGACTTGACTCTGAATCCCAGCTGAGCCTAAATACTCCAGGAGCTGGCAGGGTTGGTTTACTTCCAGAAATTTGATTTATTCTGCTTCAAAGATTACTGAACAATGGCATTTGCAAAATGTGCAATTGCAAAATGGATCACTTGCTACCACTGTATTTGAGATCCCTTCTTAAACGAGCAGGGCAGCAGGCAGTTAAAATCTTGGATTTTGAAAATCACAGATCTGCCTGTTGAATATTTTATATTGAAACAATCTGCATTCTAATAATGGGTTATGTATTTTTTTTTAAAGAAGCATATTAGGTTTAATCTCCCTTTTTAATCTTCAGTTCAGTTTGCATTTTTAATTACCTATTCTTGTGACTCATTTTAAATGGATTTACCATGCCAAGCAATTTTCAGATAAATGAGTTTTTAAATGATCCTTTATGTAATTAAACAAGAATTGAATCATATTGTACAGTCTTTTTATCAGGAAGGTCGCTTAAAGTATGCTGTGGGCATTTAACAATTTCAGATTTCC